AGAGCGGCTCGAGGAGGCCGCGAGGGCGGCGCAAAAGGGCCGCGAGGGCGGCGCGAAAGGGCCGCGAGGGCGGCGCGAAAGGGCCGCGAGGGCGGCGCGACGCGACGGGACCGCGAGGGCGGCGCGACGGGGTCGCAAGGGCGACGCGACGGGGCCGCTAGGAAGGCGCGACGCGACGGGGCCGCTGAGGCGGCGCGACGGGGTCGTAAGGGCGGCGCGACGGGGCCGTGAGAGGGGAGCGCGACTCGGGCAGAGGCTGAGCGCGCTCCGGGCAGGAAAAAAAAAAAGTTGGTGGGCCCTAGGAACAGTTCCCACAGGGGAACCTGCTCTGATACCATGTGAAAATGAACGAGGAATGAAATGACTAAGGGAAAGTTGGGTACAAGTACAAACCCTAGAAAGCTGTACCCCATATGTGCTACCCCACTATAGCCTACAGTAGCTAAGTCATATAAATCTGACACACAGCTGTTCCGAAATTGTCGCGCGCAGTTGTCGATCACGAGCCGACGCAACTCGCTTCACGTCTTGCTTCCGACATCTTCGGACGTGCACTGACGGAGATCCTGTCGACGTCAGCTGCCACACAAATTAACTTCGAAAACGCCGAAACGTACACTGCTAACTCACGCATTTAAAGCGACGACAGAAAAAGCTGTCCGCCATCCGGGGGGAGGGAGGCCACGGTCCATCTCGACTGTCGAGGGCAAGGATCCGTCGGTGGCGCAGGAGCGCCTGTAAAAACATGGCCGCTAGGAGCAACTACCCGTTCTCCTGGCCGGCTTCTGCGCTGCTCCTGTCACAACGGCATCCTTCCCTGTCCCCCCCCCCCCGAGGGGTAATACACTCTAAAAAACGGGAAGCTAGGAAAGTAGCTCTGATACCAAGTGTTATGAGTTTTACTAAACAGAGTGCGCGGAAGACTTCTATAAAGAGAACGTGATTACAGAATTACTGAATTATCAAGAATGATAAAGGAGCACGCATTTATAGGGTCGAAACCGTGCTAGGCAACGACCTCGGGACGTGGATGGGTTGGATGTGTCGCGATTGGTGCGGGGCGACTCGGCATTGGTTAGGTGCGGAAGTGTAGGCCGAGCCACCTGACGCGAAGTGCTCGGGCTGTACCCGTTAAGGCAAGGCTACAGTAAGGAATTGGCAAATTCCTTACAAAACTCATCACAAACAGATGTAATGTAAGGGCGTGTCCAGCGCGTACACTTTCGGATTTTTTACACAATTTTGACGTATTTCGGATCACGCGCAGAAATGGTACTGCCAGGTGTACCTTAAAGGCCACACCCCGAATTACACAACGAAGTCAACGAAAAATTTGTAGGTTCGGGAAACCCCAGAGACAGGTTCGGTGGGGAAATCGAGAACCAATCGCGTCAAAAACCCACTCAAAACCCTCGACCAATCACACGAAAGTGGTGACAGTTTTGGGGCCGACACGGTAATTCTGGATGTGTCCTTTAAAAGTCCTGGGTCCAAAAAACAGCGGGAAGACACAATTCGCCTCTCAGCGCAACTGGAACAGCAAGTTGCGCGACAGTGGCGACAGATCTACTCTGTAACCAGAAGGGTTGGAAATTGCCCCCTTGAATTTCGCGAGATTCAAAGTGGCCTGGCGAAGTTTGGGGATGGACCTCGCTGAATGTGGAACTGTTGAGATTCAGACTCGTACATTCCAAAATATGGTGCCAGTTACGTGCGTTGCGCGTCATGTTCACGAGTCGACGGACGTGTGTGATATTTCCATAATTTGCGTTCTAGGGGTGTACGATGTCAGAAAATTATGCAAAACTGTGGTTACATTCAAAAATGTGGTAACTGTTGTGGCACGTGTGGTGTAAACGTACGCGCTGGACGCGCCCTAACCAAACAAACAAACCATTGGCGCAACACTCATCACTGCCTCTCGCTGAAGCCAATGGGCTATTGGCGGATCTCGGAACTTTGCCCCCTGGGCAGTGGGCAGATCACATGACCCCTGCCTTGCCCCACGCGCACGCGACTGGCTGCAGTAGAAATTGCCTCTGAGGTCTTTCTTACGGTGTCGTGCTTTATTAGCAAGTCTCAAATTGGTGGAGCGCGTTATGGTGCGGCAAATGTCTTGCAAAACGCGACTCGATGTGGGTTGCAGATATTTCACGATATGCAGTTCGGTATGAATGCTTTACAGTACGGCAAATGGTGGTTTGATTTCCGTAAAGCATGTGGGTGCGACTCGCTGTGGGCTTATTGCGCCAGCCAAGCCTACCAGCAATTTCGAAACCAAGTCGTTTCAGGAGCAAATGTGGTTCACCTTCGCTAGAACCCTTCCACAAACGCAAAGAATTGTAAAAGAGCCGCTCTGATATGCACATTATCGCTCTTCACCGCATTGAAGTGAACTCATACGCCACACCCCAGGGAGAGGTATTTATCAGACACATTTCTCAACTCCTACCAGAAACAACCACCATCCTCCTCTCTGGAAGTCCAGTAACTTGCCTGCTCAGCGTTCCATTACTACTACTATCTCCAGCACAAATATGGCTTTCCCCAGCAGCTTCTCCGTAATCCTCGCGCTCATCGGCCTGGTCCTGCATGCCGCAGATGCAACCAGCATGCCTGCTGGCGGATGCCACACTCGCTACGTGTGCCCCTACATCGACGACCTCGCCACGGCAACAATCACGGATACCACTTACACCGACTACACTTTCATCGGCGATTACCAGGGGCTGTTCAACGACCAGGGAGGGCAGTTCGAGCCACACCAGCGCGGATCCGGTCCCGTCAATTACGAGCGGTACACGGAGGTGGGGACCATTTTCGACGTGGTGAAGGGCGTGTACGGCGACACGCTGCAGGAGTGCTGCCGCGCATGCGCGCGCTCCACCTACTGCTACGAGTGGCATTGGTTTAAGAAGTAAGTGCGGGTTGAGTTTTTTTTTTCTATCATTCGCGCCAAAACTGAAGCTTTTACATCTGTGTCGCTGATTTCGAAGAGTGCAGCGCGCGGCGCGCTAAGTGACTTACCCCTTTTCCTCCTTCGATCCTCTCTTCCTCTCTTCCTCCTCCAGCCCGCGTCTCGCCGGCGAGAACGCAAATGTGGCGGGATTTATCGACCGCGTGCAGTGCTACCTGCTGGAGAAGAACGGCGGCTCGGGCACGTCGGGCTCTTTCAAGACGCCGTACGCGGGCGACGCGGCCACGCAGGTTGCGAACTCGGCGTCGTACCCGCTGAGCTTCGTCGGGGGGCTCTGCAACGGCACGGCGCTTGTCGAAAACGACCCGCATCTCACGGGCGCGCACGGCACGCACTACGATTTCACCGGCCGCCTCGGCAAATCGTTCTGCCTCTTCTCCGACCGTCGATTCCACGTCAACATGCACCTGAACGGATATCAAGGCGCACCTCCCGCGCTTCCCGCGTCGTCGAAGTCGAGTGAGTCGAGCACAGAGCTGCACACGTGGATTAAGGAGGTCGGCGTGGTCTGGATGACGCCCGACGGCGCGAACCACACGCTGCGCATGGTTGCGCGCAAGGGCAAGCAGCAGGAGCGCGGGGAAAACGGCTTTATCTCGCTGATCGAGGTGGACGGCGCGGCGACGGAGATTCCAAGCGTTGGCGAGTCGATCGAGACAGAAAGCAGGCTGGTGGTTACCAAAGTCGCGGAGGAGAAGGAGGGGCCGTTCGACGTGGATCAGTTCCAGGTGCGCGTGGCGGGGCTGGGGGAACTGGACGTGCGCGTGCGTGTGGCGCACCCGCTGCTGCAGACGCCGACCGAGGCGGAGGCGCACTTCAACGTGGAGCTTTCCGACGTGGCGATAACGTCAGCCGTGCACGGCGTGCTGGGGCAGACGTTTAGGACCACGCCGGAGCAGCTGCAGCGCGCGGTGAAGTACTCGCACTTGGCGGCGCTGCTGCACCACCCGGTGGACGTGGATAAGGCGGAGGGCAAGGGGTTCCAGGACGGCGATGTGGAGGATTACATCTCCTCGTCCATCGTCGCGCCGGATTGCAAGTACGCCAGCTACGCCTCCGGCTCTGCATAAGGAGGGTCACCAGCTGTGACGCCACGTGTGGAGGCTTAACCGCGGGTGGCTTCGCGCAGACGTAGCGAGTCAAGTGATGGTAGATTTGGATGAGCAAAATTGGCGGCTTGGTTATCGAAAGTTACCTTGGCTGAGTGAGAAACTGGTCTTGGAAGGGAAGGGCGGAACTGGGCGCTGCTGTTGCTGTGCACCTAGCCTACTGCTGCCTACAAGGCTAATAAGGGCTGCGACCAACTATTTGTGTATTCGTCCCGATTGAGTAATGTGACTGTCAAAAGCCTTTTATTTGGAAGCGCAAACATCGCACGGTGAAATGGGTACGCAGGCAAACTCCGGAAGGTGTGTCGCGAGAGATGCGGCGAGAAATTCGGTGCTGCGAAAATGCAGGCAATACTGAATGCAAGAGTTGAGAACAGAGCCAAACCAATTATCTGCCTAATGTTTGCGGAAACCAACCTGCGACGCTACAATTCGGAAACTTTCGCGCGTCGGATGTTAGTTGGAGGGAGCATTTCGGTTGTGTTACCGTTGCGACGTGCCACTACCGTTGTCGTGTAACCCCATTCGAAACAAAACGAGCGTGCTGTACATGTACGTGTCACTGAAATTACATGCACTGCGTTTTTTGTGCGGCACCAATAATGCGTACAGAACAGCGCCTTAGGGTTACACTAGCCTGAATGAAATTGCTGCGAAACGAACACATTTCGGTACGAGGTTTGTACGGTTTAGAGGGTACAAACACTTCGCAGAGACTAACTTCGAGAGCGTTCTTCTCGATATATCATCAATATCCTTTTTGCCGCCTAACCGCCATGGCGCCGCCACTCGCTCTTCTCGCCTCGCTGCTACTACTTCTCCAGTTGACCGGCCTTTCGTTTCCGCCATTCGCGGCGGCTGAACCGAGAAGCGGCGGGACGATGACGGTGGGGGTGGTGGGAGATACGAACCAGATGGAGCGAATAGCATTGCTGCATAAGGCACGTTGGGGCGTGTGGCACGGTTATCCGCACACGCTGTCCTTAGGCACACAGGCGGCGGTCGCACACACCATTCCTTTGCTTGCGCTGCACCTTCCGCAACCTTTCCTTCCACGCTTTCCTTCCTTCTGCCTTTCCCTGCCCGCGCCTTCCGCTTCCCGCGCCCCCGCCCTGCCCTCGCCTCGCCTTCCCCTGCCCTCCCATTCCCCGCCCCCGCGCCTACCCCTGCCCGCGCCTCCCCTTCCCGCGCCTCCCCTGCCCGCCCCTGCCCCTTCCCGCGCCTTCCCTGGCCATCGCCTTCCCCTGCCCGCGCCTCCCCCTTACCGCACCTTCCTCTGCCCGCGCCTACCCCTTCCCTTCCCCTGCTTTCCCCTGCCCTCCACCTTCCCCAAATATCTTCTTCCATCTCACTGTCCTCACCTTCCCCTGCCCTCACCTTCCCCTGCCCTCACCTTCCCCTGCCTGCCCTCACTGCGCTCATCTTATCGTGCCCTCGCCGTTTTCTCGCCTGGGATCCAGCTCTCTTCTGCAGCCCAAAGCCCACCGCTCTTCCACTGGAACCTCCCTGAATATAATTCTCCGTGTCATTGTCCGCATCTCTCCCCGCCCACATGCACGCATGGCAGTCAGCTTACGGCCTGGGTTCCTCCTCTCTGCTGCCGCCCAAAACCATCTCCCTCCCTCCCGTGCAACCTCCCTCATATGGCAACCCTATTGATCTCACCCTCCCCATTTTCCCCTACCCACCTCTGTGCCCCTGCCTACTTGTGCCTTCCTTCCCGCATGGCACATGCACGCATGGCAGTCAGCCTACGGGCTGGACTCGCCCTCTCTGCTGCCGCCCAATTCCGTCTCTCTTCCACAGGGACCTCCCCAACCCGAAATATCTTACTCCATCTCATGGTCCCCATCTCCCCCTGCCCACATGCAGGCATGGCAGTCAGCCTACGGGCTGGACTCGCCCTCGCTGCTGCCGCCCAAGACCATCTCCCTCGCACGCAACCTCCCGCCGCCCGCCCACCTCGAGGACTGCACCGCCCGCACGTCCGCCAGACAGGGCGCCGAGAGGGCCGGGGCGGCGTGGGCGGTGCCGGGCGGCAACGGCTCGTCCTGTTGTGGATGCTCGCCGCAACCACCATGGGTGGGTGGGCGGTCGGGTGGGTGGGTGGGGGTGGTTGGCATGGTGCCCAATCGAAATGGTCGTAGGAATAGTAGAGGGTCTGAATGGTTAAGCTGGTCTCGATTTTGGGTTTAATGTTTAGAGTTTAGGGTTGAAGGAAGGTGTGTGAGGTGTGCGGGCCTAAATTCCCCTCCCCCAGACGTACGGGCCTCATGGATGGAAGCAGCCAGTGAGTGAGATAGCTGGGCAGCTCCCCTCTCCCCTCTCCCCCATATTCCCCACCTTCCCCCGGGCCCCCCCTTCCCTCCCTGCCCTTCCTCCACTTCATCCTCCCCTCCGCCAGGTGTGCGGCCCTGACGACAGCAGCCTAGCGATGGCGCGCGCAGTGCAGTGGGACACAGCAACCTTCCCCCCGGGGCTCCTGTGACGCCAGGCGCCTGCTCATTGTGCTGTGCTGTTGTTGCTCCGC